TCTGAACGGCCGTGCATGGCACTCACCCCATAGAACGGCTGATTGGTTGCTTCTCCATATATGTGGGACCGGGGTAATGGACATACCTCTGACGAGTTCAAGATACGAACTTTTGAATCTCCATATGGGGTTTTTTGACCAACCCCGAACATACCATCTTTGTCGTCATCTGTGCCATCTCCGCTGTAGCTGGGGAGAACCCGTTCACCAACCCTTGCAATGTCCGCCCAACATCTTTCGCTTAAGAATACTCCAGTGCTTCCAACTCGTGCTTCATTTCCTGGCCATCGTTTTTCGTCGACCACCAATTGGCATTTTTCTTGCTCGCTGCCCACGATGATAGATTCTGCATCTGACAAACCAAGGAATTCACTGAATGGAAGAAACACGCTAAAATCTGCATTTCGAAGCCGCTGACTGATCTCTGCAATCCCGAATGTTTGAACCTGCGATCGCACGCATTTGCTATCGAATTGATTCGCGATTCGACGATCGTTGGGTTTCAGGCAGAAAACAAAGTAAGAATTGACATTGTCTGCAGTCAAAGACTTATTGATATTGTCCAATGATACAAGAAATTGAGCAGCAGCACTCTGACCAGGTCCATTTGTGGAATCTCCCTGCTTGCGCTTTTTGGAGCCTGGAACTGAGGTCAAACTGGCCCCAGTATCGTCTTCAATATCCTTATCTGCCTGAGTTGCGCGAGCAGTAAGTCGGGGAGGTCTATCCATTCTGCGTCTTGCCATACTTGGCATTCTGAGAGGTTTCGAACTGACTTGGGCTTGCATAATAGCCGACTTTTCTTTAGGGTGGCGGATAGTTTGGAGTGCTTCTTGACCGAAAAGATCGCGCACGAACGCGCTCCTGGAGGAAGTGATGAGGTTCATTAAATCGCCAGAAACCAAGTCGCTGTTTTCCTCAAGTAATCCCTGGACAGGATAATCGACCTCCCCCGCAAAATGTCTAACTGTAAAAGTAGCAGCTTCATTTTTTGAAGCGAAGTTGCTGCCAGGAAGAGTAGCCGTAGAGCTCCCGACAGAAATGGCCGGATTTTTGTTTGCAAATCGCTTTCTCAAGCTCTCAAGTAATTGCATATCGGATCGTCCGCGCTTCGTCTGGTCATCCAGGATCGTCAGGATTCCGTTGCCCTGTTTCAGCAAGGCTTTGACAGCATCAGAGTTATCGAAATAGCTAGTCGGAGGGACGCTAACTTCATCCGCTTCGAGGATTTCCGCCTTGTGGTCGAAGAAGTTTCGCAAGCAGTAGTTATAAAGCGATTCAGTAGCGGCGTTATTCAAGAGCTGGTCCAATGTTGACCCCGTTGCGGACGTTTGAGAAAAACCGGGGAAGTCGATGATGGAAATGGTGTTGGCCACCGCATCCTCGGCAGCACATACGCGCTGGTTGATGTTTTCGATTACATAGGCAACCAGAAGAGCGTAAAGGGTCCGGGCGAGGTCATCGGCATTACTCCGTGCTCCTTTAGGATCGAGCATAACAGTTACACGTTCCCGATGAATGGTTTTCGTTTTATAGCCAAGGCTTGTCTCGAGATCATCCACGCTGAGTCCGAGGAACGCAGCGATAATTGCTAAAGCGTCCTTGTTTTTGACAATAGTAACAGTTTCACCGCCTTCATGTGAGTATCCACCGCTCTCCTCTGGGCCCGTTGTCGTTGATTGGCCAGTAGTAAATTCCAGCTGTCCGATATGTAATATACATGCAAGTATCTGACAGATTTCAGCTATTTCACTCCTGGGGAACTCCAATTTGCGGAGCGCATTTTTGAATTGTTGGAAGCCCTCGGTGTCGTTAATCCCGACCTTCAGTTGCGTGGGATGGCCGAGGTACCGCCATCTCTTATGAGAAATTGTGCCAGATGAATGGTTGCCGGTGCTTCCACCGGTGCGGATGTCGACTGAACTGTCCAAACCCAGATGCGCCTTTTCAGCTGCACTGGTTCCTGCAAGGAGATAATATAGCACATGGAAGCTTCGTTCACCAGTAGGAACGGACGCGATACGGCTTCTTTCTAGCCGGTGATCCAAAAGCTTGCCACCAATTAAGGTCGGGTTGAGGGTTGACGAGGCATCATACTGAAGCTCGAAAAACAGACCCGCTTTGGACGCAGTCGGGGTAGTAACTGATTTTGTAGTTGTCAAAGTATCGAAAACGAAGGCAGCGAACGAGAGCTTTGCTGAAAGGGGTGTGGATGATAATGACAAGAAGGAAGAAAGAAGATGGGAGCGAACGGTTGTCTTCCCGGAACCAGTTTCTCCGCTAGTGGTAGAAAAAAAAAAAAAAAAAAAAATCAGCATTCCCCATGCAAGTTCCCAAGCGGAATTCTTCTCTGGAATGCAAGGCTTACAGGAAGATGACAGCTTGGTTTTCTCCTCTCCCTCCCAGGCGGGCCCAAGCACGCCTAGCCAGATCGTCTGCTTCCCCCATTGCGCTTCCTTCCCTTTGTCCATCCGGACCGCGGGTGGAAGAAGTGTACGTATTCAGGCATATCAATCCTTGAGACGATAGCCGTGCCGTCGGAAGGGATACATGAAATCTAAAATCAGAAACCGAAACCAAAGTTTGTTAGCGAAAAATTTCAGGAAGATATCTGACTTGGTGTAAAATTCTTTACCTGCTTGCCAGATGGGCCGTAAGGTGGGTGTCCGATTGAAGATGGGCGGGAAGTGAAGGCAAGGAGGATTGTGCATGGGCAGGAACAGATCCCGTCCCCGTCAATGAGTGGAGGGCCATGGCCAACGTCAACGATTAGGGAACGAAGCCCACCTGGGCTGATAGAAAAGGGTTCAATCAAGCAATAACGACAGTCGACAACTCTCTGTACTGATTCGAAAGGCAGAATATTTTTGATTGACGATTGGCGTTCTAAGGCATTAGGAAGATTAACGAAAGGGACAAGAAGGATCGTCAAGAGGCAACGAAATATAGCGAACAAGATAATCGGTATATCAAGGGGGATTTAAGCTATTCTGTTCAGTCTCGTTACGAGTCAAATAGCAGAAGCAAAATCGGCGGCGATCAAGTAGAATGCTCCAACGCGGCCACCAAAATAACGAAGAACGGTCCTCAAACGAGGAGAGAACCCAAGGCAAACGACACGAAAGGAAGTGGAAGCAAAAGAGCGAGTGGCATCGGGGGGAGTATCTCTGGGGAACACGAGGGCCAGAGGTGAGGTTGGTTTCAAGACAAGTCCAGCGAGCGAGCGAGTGAAAGCGGAACGGGCAGTGTCGAGCCGCCCAGAAGGGAAGTATGTATACTCCGTACCATACGACGAAATACAGGTAGGTATTTTTTACATACGTAGGTACGGTATATTACGTTTCAAAGATTACCAGGCTACTTAATGTTTTCCACATTCCGTATTATTCTGGTTCGCTGTCCCGCGTGCGATCACACTTTGTTTATATTTCAAAATAACAGTGCATCGAGTTGCGCTAACAAAAAATATTTTTTGCTAGCTGGGGCCAACTGGCAGGTTGTAAGTTGCCCGCTTGCAGCTGGGATCCCCGCCCTTGCAAGATTTATCTCGAATGACAGGCCTGGAAGAGCAAGCTATCGTGTTACAGGGTGCAGGCCTCCCCCTCCCCAGGTTGTCTCGTCTCGCCAGGGCGACTAGTTTCGCGATCCAAAACAAGCGGCAGGCTCAAAATCTATTTTAGGCGAGTCTAGAGCATGAAAGAACAAACAACTATAAGCACAAAGAGAGAGGAAAACATCTACTGCGTACATCGCCACGGACACTTGTGTCACATAGTTAAATATATTCTTGTCAACTGAGGTAATAAAATCAAGTAAAAATAAAAAAGTGATACGGACGGAGAACGAATCGTCGATGGGATAAACTCCTCTAACGATGAGGAGGATTCCGAAAAAATACTCAGCCAGCCTTCTAACAAATCCCTGCTTTCCCGAGCATGTGGAAGCCGAATCGAATGAAGGTGGTAAGACATCCACAGAGACCGTCAAAAGCGATGTTTCGATTGGTGTGGGTGATCACACAATCGATGCATCCACCCAAATCAAGGCCTTTTTCTTGCCACCTCTAGTGTGGACTTGGAACTGGAGCCGCCTCAGCTGGACGGACCCCCTTCGACACTTGGTTCGGCTATCACTCGTAGAAAATCTAAAGGAAAATAGGCCCATGTTGAAAATCGTCCACTCCTAGTCGTCTCAGAGCGCGTGATGCGGCAAGGAAGCCGAAAAGGTTTTATAGCTGCTTGTGGACGCAGAAGAAATCGATGATGATCATCATGGCACCAGAAGTCGTACTTCTTACGAATATAAATATACGGGATGAAATCTGGAAGCCTCTTGGAAGGCTGAACAATAGAGTTGGTGGATCTTGCTCTCATCCTTTCTTGTGTTTCAGGTTTCAGACACAATGTTCGTCAAAATCATTATCAAGATTACCTTGTCCATCGCAAACATCCTCAATTGTATCAGTTTGTGCAGTGATGAGGAAACGATCAATAACGATCAACAGACCAGAAAGCAATCGTATTTCAGCCCCATACCATCCAGTGTTCCATTTTTAGGACGGATGTTCTGCACACTGACTGCGCAAAACCTTTGTATTTTATCTTTGGATCCATGGTTCAAAGGCTTCGAAACCGTTCCCCAGCATACTCTATAATCTGCATGGTCGAAGGTGAACCTGGTTCCGATCTGCGGCAGGACCAATAAATGGCGGACGGGGATTTTTGCTTCAAACTTCTCCAGGACATACCACTTAACCTAATCCGCCCACAACCATTTTGCAGCATTTGTGTTGTGTCTTTTAAATGGGGTACAGACATCGTTCTTGAAAAAAAAAAAAAAAAAAAGAAAGAAAGAAAGAAAATGGTCCAAATTTAATATGTTTCGTACCTGGATTTTGATTACATCCTTTCTTCAACAGAACAACTCTCATTTGGATCAAGTATCTATCAAATAGTAGTTAAAGAGCCATTTGATATAACACAACGTTAGTAATCTAATCATTCGGCGTGGAAGATTGGTCGGTTGCAACGATCTCACATGAAGCTTTTTAAACCTTACCACGGCTCTGTCAGGCGGCCCAGGGCCCTGTGACAAAGGTGTGGATTAATACCTTTGAATAGGCGTGCAAACTATATACTTACAATGGGTGACCCTATCTTAGGGATCGATCCTTGTGATACAGTGGAAAGTTCTCTCTTATCTGGAAGCCGAAAAGATTCAGAATTAGGTGTCAACGCAGGTGTCGAGTCCTCATAACTTCTACTCATGAGGGTCAAAGTTCGTTGACCGTTGATACTAAGATTTCCATTTCTATTTCTAATATTCCAGCTTCAAGCTTGGGGGTGGTGAGCAATTTGAACAGTTCCTACCAGGTAGAAACGCGTGGTAGACAAAAAGTACACACGTTTTCAAAACGATCCAATGATTGTGTCTATAGTTTTTGCGTATGTTTCTCATTGCCCGGTAGTGCAATTATGTATAGAGCTGTGCCAGCAAGTCCATCGGAGACGGATCATGTTTATTGTTGAAAAGGAATAACTATATACGATATAGTTAGGAGTCTACATCTGTACTCCGTACAGATGTAAATCTACCATCAGACAAATTTTATTAGGGCTAAGTCGGCCTCAAAATTGTTTCTCCACCGACTCACGGTGTTTGCTGGTTGGCCCAATTGGCCTTTCTCCTAGAGGGAAAGTGAGACAATTGGGTTTGCTGGATTTGCAAGGAATATATGCCTGCTACTGGACCAACCAAGTCGAATTGGAGTTCAGAGTACAGATTACGCAGTAGACCAGCGAGGAGAGACCAGCGACTTGTCTCAACGATGGTGGGAAGCTGTAAGGATAGGTTTGGAACTTGTGCACAGTATATCAGTATCAGGCAAGCTGGAGGCCCAATTAACACATGATATATGTGCTCTTCTCATGAAGGTGTATCAAGCTTGTAGCTCCTCGATTCTGTAGCGATCCTTCTACGTAGCCGATTCCTGTCAACAATAGCATTGGAAAGAGTGATATCATTATTGTTGGGGTTTATCAATATTTTTTGCTCTGATTGAAAAACACAACCCTGCACCATGAGCCTACGATCTGAGATTTAGACAGACACCTTTACGGTTGATAACCACACCCTTGCTCAAAGGGATTCGGGTTGAATACATCTATGAAAAACTGCGAATTTTAAGTTGATGCAGAGGCTTTCAACTTACATCTTTTGTCTGGCTTACTTGAGGTGCGGCTGCCACTACGATATAAACAGCTTGATCCACAAATCTATTCATATTCCCAAAAGCAACCACACGGAAGACATTGTTCTGCTGCAACAGGAGATGGTCACCACCAAAAGTATAGGTGTCATGCCGGCTGGCAGGAAGCGAGCAGGCCTACGGTGGTAAGCAGCGTATGCACAGCCAAGTGCCAGCCAGGACATCTGGTGCGAAAGTGACATGTAAATTGAGAGTTCTACACAAAGGAAAGCACAGTGAGAGGCGGCAGATCATGCTACAATACAATGCTGCGGGGGGGCTTTACATTTATGAAGGGCAACATTTCAACCAACGCCAAATTCCTGTTGACGCTGGTTGCAAGGCACAAAAATTTTGTGAGCAGAGTTTAAGATATATTAAGAGACAGATTTTTTATCCCTTCAATGCATAATGAAAATTGTCCGATGCTCACTCGACTGTCTTGTAATATACTATACACCTGGCAGAAGAGACGGTTTTTGAAGGATTTCAAAACTTGATTCCTGAAACAGATGAACATGAGAATAATGAATTGAGTGATTGTCCTCTTAAAACCTGCTCTTTATTTCCTTTTCTTTAATAATTATAACTACTAGCTATTCACTCTATAGTTTTTCATGTAGCTACGAATTGGTCGAAATTACTGGGCTGGCTGTAACTTCCCCGACACTCTCCGTATTGTTACGCGTTTCAATGGAGTCTATAATTAGCAAATAATTACAATGCTGAACTTGACGCTGCGAATATTCCGTACACGCAGTACAGTACGTACAGTACACATTACCGTACGCAAATCCTCCTCCGTCCGCTGTTCTCTCTTGCTCGAGGTTGGCAAAACAACTCAACCCCAACCTCACGGCCTCATCAGATCTGGTCCTCTTGCTCGTCTCCTTGTTCGTCTTTCGTTTGGTTTCCTTCTACTATTCCTTTCGTTTAGCTGTGTCAGCAAGGAGTTGCTCGTTTCGCATTCGTTTGGACTTCTTGTCCTCGTCCATCGCTTTTTGCACCTACCCATTCCTCACTCTTCCCAACGATTTTGCTCTTTCTCACGGCTAATTCTAGCTCCTGACTATTCTTGCTGTGATAGGCCGGTGACGATAAGATTTTCGTAAAGAAGGGTCGTTGTTTTCTAAGCAGGACGGGTCTCTCTCCTCTTTGCCTGCCCTTACAAGGGGCGAGGACGCATCCTGCCATAGCTAGATGGGGCCGGAGTCAGTTACCTCAGTTCACTAATTCATTGTTAACGGCTTCCTTTACTTGCCATATCTTGCTCCAACCTTAAAATATCCATCCATCTGCAAGGCAAGCATGGCGAGCCGGTATTCTGTTTATTCGACGACGTCTTCCACTGCACCTGCCCCTCGCTCGACCAGACAGCCAGCTGCGCAAGTGTCTACCACAACCCTCCTTAATACCCTCCATGCGATATACTCCTCTGGGCAGTCATATCAGCTCGACTCAGGCACGGCTCTGACGGTTAACACTTGGCTTACCGCTGCAAGCCCTGGACCCAATGGCGAAGTGGGCGGATCAGTGGACGCAGAACTCGCGAGACGGGCTTGGGAACATGCTCGACGCAGAGCTGAAGATGGGTGTATCGTCTTGTGGTAGGAACCTCTGCAATCCACCGCTCTCCCGGAAGATGCATCATATATGATGAATCCGTGCTGACTGTTGAAAACAATAGCTCATCTCACCGTTCTACTCCTTCCCTTCTTGCTCCGTTCTTAGCCAAGCTACCATTGTCGACTCCTTCCACCGCTTATACTGCACTTTCTGCCCTTCGACCGTTCATTGCACAAGTTACACCTTATAATCCGTCGCAATTTCGCTGTTCTGCACTTGCTGTGTCTTATACCTTCACGCTCACTGGCAACGTCACAGCGGTATCACTGTCTTTATCCACATCTGGCCTTGATGTTTCTAGTGGCCTCCTTAATATTCCTGCCGAGGCTGGCTACCGCGCCTTCGATGTGTTTTACTATCTACTTACATCTGCTTCGACCCCGGCTGAAAGGGAGTTTCTCAGCCTGAAAGATGCGTCTGCATACTCTCTCTTGAACAAATCGAACACATTTAATCCGCCAGCATATCTACCCACCGCTGATGATGCGGCTTCTGCTGAAGATTTTAGAGCTGCTCTCAAGGCTATAGGTATCAAAGGCGCGTCACATAGAAATTTTATTACGATACTAGCTGCTTTACTGAAGCTAGGTAATTCTCTGGGCTTCTTGGTCGACCAGGAGGAACTTGAGGAAATATGTGAAGATGTTGGGGGACTTTTAAACCTTGATCCGGATGTACTTCTGCACAAGTGCTCCACAGATGATCGTACCATTCTGATCGCTGGTATCTACGAAGCTTTGATTGATTGGGTGATATCTAAGGCTAATGAGACCATCTCTGATGAGATTCACAGCACCCGGGATAGTACCTCAGGTGATGACAGCCCTGGCCGGAGGACCCCTTGGATTGATGAGGAAACGGGTGACACTGTTGGAATCACAGTCGTTGAGGTTCCAGATCCAGCGTTAGGAAAAGCCATCGCCCTTAGGGGAGTCTTCGATGACTCCCTTGGTATTAATGCTGAAATGAAAGAAGATGGAATCGAAGTTGTTGCCCCAGGACAGTCTGTGATCAAGGAAATGCACAATGCAATCGCTGAGGTTGAGGCCGATATGGGGGTTCCGGAAAGCTCGGCAACCCGTGAACGAGAACAAGAATACGATAGAAAAGAAGGTGTTTTGGAAAAAGTCGGATTGGAACTTGAAACGGGCAGTTTTCTTCGGCAGATTTTATATTCCGTTGAAAATGAAGGCATTAGTCTTGGCAAGAAGGGCCGTTTTGACCTCACCAATACTCTAGGAAGCAGCAGAGTTTGGTATCACGTCGCACTTCATCCCACAGACGATCCACCTGCCGCTTTGGCATCTTTACCATCCGTTACATCCTCTTGGTCTGCCGGAACTGTCTCCCGCCAACTTCGCGCATGGAGGCTCCCCGAATGGGCCAATCGTCGAAACAAACACCTTGATTTCACGGCAGATTTCGATGTAGAAGAATTTGTCACGAGGTATTCTCGACTTGGATGCCAAGAAGGAAAGGACGGAGTGGAGAACTGGATCCTAGAAAGAGGGTGGAGCAATGGTGATGTGGTTATCGGCAACGAGAGAATTTGGATGAGAGAGAATGCATGGTGGGAGGCTGAGTCGATGTTGGATTTGAAACCGCAAAATATCCCACAGGATCCGTTCAACCCTGTGATGACCCCCTTTGACACCCCATATTCTCCCACCCCACCACCTAATGCCAGCGGCTTCTTTCAGCCAGAGATCAGTGTTGGTGACAGTCGTGAAAATCTTATGCAAAGGCAGAGCGTGGCAACTATGTCTCGGAGTGCTTTGGGGGGAGCTCGTTCCATCGCACCAACTGTTGGCCAGCCTGGCCAAACCGCACCGGGAGATTACGGCCTTGGCCCAAAGGGAGATGACAGAAAACACGATACCCAATACTACGATCAAGATCTTGGTGTATTCACTGGGCAAATGGATCCTGAATTTGGTGACCCGAAAAAGATCGAGAAGAAAAAAATTCCCTTGTCTCGGCGTCTGTGGGCAGGCTTCGTTTGGGCGGTAACTTTCTGGATTCCTTCGTTTGTCCTTCGATATGTTGGCCGTATGAAACGCCCAGATGTTCGAATGGCTTGGAGAGAAAAGGTTACTCTCATGGCTCTAATCCTTCTCCTGAACGCCACAATGGTTTTTTGGATTATTGGTTTTGGAAATTTACTCTGCCCGAATAAAGATAAAGTCTGGTCTGAGAAAGAAGTCAGTTACCACCAAGGGGATAATGACTACTACGTCAGTATCCATGGGATCGTGTATGATATCAGCAAATTTTGGAAAGTTCCGCACGCTACAACTAGAGACACTTCCAGGACTGCAATGGATCCGTTCCGCGGTTTAAATATGGATGCTTACTTTCCCGTTCCACTGACTGTGGCATGTCGCGGCTTCGGCATAGACGATTATGTTCAGCTTCAACACAACAAGACCGACGCCGTTTTATATCCAAATGCTCTCCACTCCTCTGGTCCTTTAAATGAGCGTGACCCCAAATCCAAATTGCACGATATCAATTGGTATAACAATGAATTCTTACCAAGAATCAAGGAGTATTACAAAGGGGATGTGGTTTGGGACAAGGCTGAATTACGGAAACAGGCGGAAGAAGACCAACGGTTTTGGGTCGTACTAACCGGCGAAGTGTTTGATCTAACGGACTATTTCTACACCGTTAAACTGATGAACAATCTCCAGGCCTACAATTTCCTCCCTGATAAAGTCACCCAGCTGTTCTTGAATAACCCGGGCGAGGACATAACCGACAAGTGGGAGAGTACCGTTGACTTCCAGAACAGCTATTGGTGTTTGAAGCATCAGTTTTATCTTGGCAAAACCGACTTCCGAAAAACAGCTAGATGCCAAGTGAACAATTATATCCTGCTTGCATTCACTTGCGTACTTGCTGGTGTTATTCTTATCAAATTCGTTGCTGCGCTCCAGCTTGGAACCAAACGGCGACCTTCGATGCAAGATAAATTTGTAATCTGTCAAGTTCCCGCGTACACCGAGGGAGAAGACCAACTGCGGAAAGGACTCGATTCCCTCACAGCTCTCCAGTATGACAATAAGCGGAAGCTTATTTTCGTGATCTGTGATGGTATGATTGTTGGAGGTGGTAATGATCGGCCAACTCCAAAAATTGTGCTCGATATCTTGGGTGTCGATCCAAAAATCGATCCTCCCGCGCTCCCATTTAAGTCTGTGGGCGTGGGAAGCGATCAACTCAACTATGGCAAAGTGTATTCTGGTCTCTATGAATTCGAAGGCAATGTTGTTCCTTACATTGTTGTTGTCAAGGTTGGAAAGGAGTCCGAACAAACCAAATCGAAACCGGGAAACCGAGGGAAGCGAGACTCCCAAGTTTTGATTATGAGCTTCCTAAACAGGGTACACCATCGTTCAGCAATGTCACCACTCGAGCTTGAAATATTCCACCAAATCAACAACGTTATCGGAGTTGATCCTGAGCTTTACGAGTATCTCTTCATGGTTGACGCTGACACGAGTGTGAAAGAAGATTCGTTGAACCGACTTGTAGCGAGCTGCGCGAATGATTCTAAAATTGCCGGTATCTGTGGTGAAACCAGTTTGGAGAATGAAGAACGTACTTGGTGGACAATGATTCAAGTTTACGAGTATTATATTTCCCACCACCTGGCGAAAGCTTTCGAGTCGTTGTTTGGCAGTGTTACTTGTCTTCCTGGATGGTATGATCAATCCTCGTGTCTCTTTTCCTAATTTTTGGCATTGGTTCGCTAACTTTTCTTAGTTTTTGCATGTATCGTCTTCGCACTGCTGATAAAGGCCGGCCGTTGATTATCTCTGATAAGGTTCTGAGCGAATATTCTGACATAGACGTTGATACACTACACAAGAAAAATCTTTTGGCCCTCGGAGAAGATCGATATCTGACAACATTAATGACCAAGCATTTCCCGAACATGAGGTACAAATTCATTCCAGACGCATACGCAAACACTGCAGCTCCAGAAACATGGAGTGTTCTGCTATCCCAGAGACGTCGCTGGATCAACTCCACTATACACAATCTAGCAGAATTAATGTTCCTCTCAGACTTGTGCGGCTTCTGCTGCTTCAGTATGAGATTCGTGGTGTTTAATCATTCTTTTTGGAACAATTATTCTCCCAGCGACCTGCGCTTATTTACTCTTTAACGTTTACCTCGCTGCAACCAATAGT